GGAGGCGGAGGCGAACAGAATTGCAAAAAGCACGAATCTACCTAGGGGAGGTCCTCTGAAAATTTCAAGTATAGACTGAGGCGTTTAATCGTAGATTTTCGAACGTTTCGTAGAGAGACTTCATTCGAGGTTTTTGAAAGGGGCTGGCTAGAGTTGTAAGGCTCTAAGCATTGTGGCATTGTAAGTCTCACCGAATTACGGCTGCATTGTAAGAGGCCGAATTAAGCTTATAACAATGAAGATCTCAAATGACTATTTTTTCTATAGGAATTTTGAGCAATTCTCTATGAATCTGCAACTCCTTTAATTAGCAATTTGGCTCGCAACTTTAGTTTTCCGCGAACATAAGGCTCACTTTCGCTGCGATTTTGAGAATTTCGAGAATTTCACCATCATATAATTTCTCGAATAGAATCCTATTCTACCTAAACTTGAAAACTTGAAAGCCAGTTGGTCTTCTTGAGTCGTGAGCAAATTAGCACATTATGTCCTGCAAAAGAGGGCAATCGGAAACTTGTTATATATATGATTTTTCAGAATAACATCTGGTTGAGAATATTGCAAAAAACGAAAGGATCTTTAGATAATAGGATTACGGCCATGACACTTTGTGCCCGTTTCCAGTATGAATCAGCTGAGTTTACAGACGCTCTCACTGTGCAATTGGAACGTTCACTATCGCGATTTCGATGTGGCCTTCTTATATAAGCAACTGCGAAATCGTCAGTGTTTCGATATTCTACTAATACACATTGCTGCTGTAGAAAGTATTAGGTACCATGCTCTTTTTTTTTCCACGATGTAGAATTCAGTTAAATAATAGACTAATCCACTCCTTGGCTTACACAGTAAATGGAAGTTCCCGAGCAGGAACTGCCCCCTTCCTATGAGTGGTTTGCAGATCAGATTGCAGGCCATCATCCGTCGGTGATCAAAAACGGAAAAAGGGAAATAGGTATGTTGACAATTCAAGCTTGGTCAACCTCATTCGGTGGCTTGCAGCACTTATCTTTGCTGCCACACCCAAAATGTTTGTACAGGTGCCTCTTATTCAAATGTTATTTACACTTCTAATGCCAGGGCTATGAAGCTTCGGAAAATGAGTGTTTTAGGTATTCTTAAACAAAATGGCAGTGACAAGGTCCTAAAACCAAAGCAAGACGGTTTGCGAGGAGAATGTGAGGTGAATTTCCTGCTTTTACGAGTTAGTTCGAGATTGTATGACTACAAACTGTTTCGTTCTCGATACTTGAACTTTAAATGGGTATCTCCAATTCCTACTACAGTCATAAGATGAAAATTGCTACTAAAGCGTTTCTGCAAATCGCGTTTTATCAACACTTAGCTTAGCTTTTTTGCAATTTTGATGACTACATAGTGACATGGCCTCTTACTTATCTTGTTATGGTATCATAGATATTCTCATGTATGACCGCTATGGTTACGCAATGAAACGGGAGTGACATCTTCAGGTCAATGTCTACAAGTTGCTGGAAAGTGCATTGCGTCACACAACTTCCGGAGAAGTAAATTACGATGGTCGAGGCAACAGCAAGTAACACCATCTGACATTCCTGCAATAGTCTCTTTCGCATTCTTTTACTTGCCTTTAGGCCGATTGGATGGGAGAGTGTTAGGGAAGAAGATGTAATTGGCCTTACTCAGTTGACTCCAGCTTTTCACGGCATAACATCTGTCTCGATAGATAAAGAAGGTGAATCTACGTAGTATATATATATATATATATATATATATATATATATATATATATATATATATATATATATATATATAT